AGGAAATGTATAGTATTGTTTGCAAAACAACTGGTAGTGAAAGAAAGTTGACATTGAAAAAAAGTTGCCCCACCCCTCCCTCACGAAATAGGATTTTCGAGTTTGAGCAATTTCCTTTTCTTTTTTTTTTTTGCTTTTTTTTGCTTGTCAACTTTAATTTACAAGTAACTGAAAAAAATTCTCGCCCCCCCCCCACTTTCAAAGGCGCCTGCTTTGCATCAATTTTGTTTCAAAGTCTACTATTGTGTTTTCTTTCCTAAATATATGGCCCCGTGGGGATCCGGGTTAGAATAGGTCCTCAGTACCCCCTTGCTTGTCGTAAAAGGCGACTAAATGGGGCGGTCCTTCGGATGAGACCTTATAAACCGAGGCCCCGTGTCACAGCAGGTGTGGCACGATAAAGATTCCTCCCTGCTCAAAGGCCATGAGTGCCGAGCATAGGCCTAAATTTGCAGCCCTTCACCGGCAATGGTGACGTCTCCATATCAGTGAAATATTCTGGAGAGGGACGTTAAACAGTATATAATCAATCAATCCTAAATATATGTACTGCTTTGTGTGCGTAAGATACATATGTAGCCTTTAATATTGTCACTATTTTTCGTGAATTACATATAAAAACTGTGTACATATCAAATGCTCAGGAAATGCCATAAATTAAGGAAGTGCAGCGAAATCTTTAAATGACAATATAATAAATGATGATTTAACTGCAAACATATTCATTTTTAATTACATGTAAGCATTTTTTTAAGCATGATGTTTTCGTTATTATAGAACACTTGTCTATTCTCTGTCAAAATATCCATTTTGAAAGTTTGTATGCCGAAGGACCATATAATTACACATATAAGGATATTAAAATCCGTTTCCTCCATGACTACCATAGTATATATTTTACTACAAAAAATTAAGTTTTACTCAGATATGATAGATTAACACTTTGTGCTGGTGTTCAACTTAATCTGCCCCTTATTTTCATTTAAAAGGTGTTGCATGTATCCACGGTTTTTCCACTCAATCATTTATTCATTATTTATAAATATATAACAAATAGTTCTCATTCTTTGAATTACATATAAATTTAAACAAAAAAAAAAACAATCCATTTTTCAGAACTTCTTAAAAAATTCATAGAAACATTGTCCTGAAATTCTATAATTCTGAAGAATGGCCTATATTGTTGAATTTTATTCCATAAATGTTTATGTGTTATTTTTATACAAAACGTCAACGTCACGGTGTTGAAGCATACAACGTCAACGTAATGACGTGACAGCATTGATTAAGAAAACAATGCTAAATTGAAACGGCTGTAAAAAGAAAACCAGAAAAGATATTCTTAAAAAATAAAATGTTTTACACCATACAAATCTTCGAGTATAATGTCAGGAAGTTTCACTTATTTTGATGACTAGGCGGATTTTTGCACTTCGTGAACTTAGCTCTTTGACAATACTGCAACAAAAAAAAAACGATGGGAGGGAATTGAAAATTTCCATCCTCAATTTCCTTTTTGGTGTATTTGTTGATTGATGGTCATAGTTCTCAAGAGATGCTTTGAGTATCTTGGAATTCCGGGCACTTTGAAGTCTCCAATTTCCTTAGATTTTTTAATTGTCGTATCCTTGTTTCCAGAGAGCTTGAGAATTGACTTCCTCGTCTGAGTGTATTAACACTTATCGATAATGGGAGAAAAACAGAGAAGAACTGTTAGGTTCTGATCCATAAATATCTCAAAAGTTGCTCTATTTACATACTAATTACAGTTTATTTGAAACTTTGTTTATTATTTAGACAACTGTAAGTCTTGGTATCAGCCAGTCATTTTACAATGTATCACATCAAATGTGCTTCGCAATACTGCCATGCTCTTACAGAGTTTCCTATCTCAAAATGAAAATCGGAATAAGATTATTTTTAAAGCAAAATTAGCCGCATTACTAAAACAGTCGTGTAAGTTTAGTTGTGTATCTTACATTCTGTACCTTGTTATGTACTTCTACAGAACACGTAGATATGAAGACTCGATCAGCTTTTTACATAAAGCGCAAGATAGGATGTCAGTGCCGCATATCATGTATAGAAATCGGTCAAATCCAGATATATATAGAAACTACATGGAGCGGAAGACCCTGGGTACTAGGATGAGGAGAGCTCTAGTGAGAAATTTTAGGCTAAACGTAATGGACATTTACATTGTTGAACTTGCGTTAGAGCAGAAAATTTGTTCAAAAAATGCGATATGGTCATTAACCATTCCACCTCTTGTGGTGTTGAACATGTTGTTCATACTGAATCACCAAAGACTGGGTGACACAGTCAGGTCACAAAAATCTCTACGTGATCTACAGTCCCTCCTTCTCAGTGATGACGGGACTCACGTACACAATCTCCTCAGAGATATTTCGTGGCAAATCGTCGGAATCTGTCAACAAATCTGTGGGGACTATTCAGGATCTCTCCTGTCTTATCAAAAATCCCTACAACAAATTCCATTCAACAAGCTTCTGCAAGCAACATTGTTCAGAATAAATTCTGTTCAAAATGAAGAGTTCTGACTTTGTTTTTGTTCGTATATAAATGTACATACATGAGCGTGATACATACATCATCAATTAATATTTTCTGTTATAAAAGTAATTCTTTCTTTCAATTGTATTGTATTTAATTGTACTGAATTAAAGTTGATTTGTCAATACGTTTTCTTATGCCGTACTAGTAACATTTTAATGTTATGAACCTCTGGGTGAAATGATATGCATGAAAAATTTTCAATATCAATATGTAACAGTTGTTTTCTTATATGTAGATCAAAAATACACAAGTGGCATAATTTTATCTGATTTTGATTTTATCTATTATAACAAATATATGAAAAATTGATTCCTATGCCGTACCTCTTGCAGTTTTCTGTATGTATTTCATATTCCATAATCAGAAATGTGTTCCCACGTACATTTTGCTTGGAAATTTTGCCAACTGACAATTGTAAACAGAAAAGTATAGAGTTCATTCATGTTAACATTATAGTGAGGATGACTCTGTCATTATTTTATCCTTATTCATTGATATTTTTGTCAAAGCAACCAAATTCCGGTGAAAAACTTTTCCATTTTCTAAATACACCTTATGTATCTTCATTATAAAAGAGCTAATAGCCTCAATATTTTTTTTCAAAAAGTTCTACAAATAAAAATATACTTCTGAAAATATAGTGAACTGCAGAAAACCGATATTATCAGAACTGGATTTGACGGTAGTACAGTAGATTTGCTTCAGTTCTATTGGAAGCTTTAACATTCAAAATTCAGAGTGGAGATATGTTCAACATAACAATATAGAAGTTTTTACATTTCATTTTGTATATTTACAAGTGATACAACATAGAAATGTTTTTTTTTTTATAAACTTGTACGTAGATTTTTTTCTTTGCTTGGTCTATTAACTGAAAACAAGGTTTTTAAAACGAAGATGAGTAGTGCAATATTTTGAGTCACTTTGAGTATATGTTGAAAAATACATTCTTGTGCACAGAATTGGTCTGACGTTTTTTTTTTTTTCAAATCTGGCATGATGGAGTCACATTGTCATTCTTTTTACAATAATAGAAATGAAAATTACACCTTTATTCATTATACTCTAGATCTGTAAAAACACACAAATTGAACAATCAACATTGTCCAGTCTGCAAAGCGTTTGGAAAGAAACGTATGTTGAATATACATTGAAAATGTCCCCATTAAAATTAACATTCAGCAAACCTGGGTTTTACATGAATTCAGCTTAAGGATAAATCCTTTCAAAATCTTATATATAATTCTGATGTCTTCAGAAAACAGAAAGGAAATAAGATTGATTAGGCCATCGATAGAGCTTACATTATTTTAATACAAAGAATTCGACAAACAAAGAATGCTTTATTGCCAATGTTTATTTAGAGCATAATATACTTATTCAGCCAATCAAATGCTCGCATGTCAAGCGAAGAATTGATTTTTCATGGTGAAGAATTCTATTATTTCTGAAATATTTAACAGTATTTGATTTGTTCACTTGACAGTTATAAATATGGACGTGTCTTTATAGGTTTTTGTTTATCACACAAAATGTATTCCAAAAATCACGTGCTGTTAACAAGTAATGGTAGGATCATATTTAGAACATAACCTACTTATTCAGCCAATCAAATGCTTGCATTTCTCGCAAAGAATTGATTCCTCATGGTGAAGAATTTTATTTCTGAAATATTAAAAGGTGTTTGATTGGTTCCCTTGAAGGTTATATGGGTGCGCCTTTATTGGTTTTTGTTTATCACACAAAACACTATTGCAAAATCTACGTATTATTTACAATGATATTAAAATTTCTAGGCCCTACTATGGAAAGCCGTAGGGTACCCCAACATTATTATTATTTTTTCCTATATAATTATACCAAAAATAATTATGTCATCCAAACTTGCTTTTTACAACATTATTATTATTTTCCTGCAACAATTATAATATTGTCTGTTAAAAGTGTACACATTATTATTATTGTGTCCTACAATTATAATGATTCACTTTACAACAATAATCTTGCCAGTCAATATGTAGAAACATTATTATAATTTTTCGCCTCATGATTATAATCTTGTCAGTCGATGTGTACACATTATTATTATTTTGTCCTACAATTATAATGATCCAAACTTTACAATAATAATCTTGCCAGTAAATGTGGACACATTATTATAATTTTTCGCCTCATGATTATAATCTTGTCAGTCGATGTTTAAAAACATTATTTTTATTTCACCTCAAAATTATAATAATTATTCTTACTTTTAACAATTATAATCATGTTTGCCCAAGCGAACACATTAATTTTATTTCGCTTCAATTTCATGCCAATTTTATTCCACATCAATCATACAATTATAATCTGTCTTACTCCAACAATAATAATCGCGACCAAAAAATTTGCAACATTATTATTATTTAGACGCTTGAAATCAAACGTTTCTGTGATTTTGATGTACTGAACAATTATAATCTTGTCAGATTTTCTTTGGGAAAGATTATTATTATTTGGACGCTTGAAAAAGTAAACGTTTGTCTGCCGAAGACAATCATGTGGTTTACGGCCATGTGCTTCCCTAGTATCAACAGTGCCGAGGAAGGCGCCAGTGAAAGGCAGGCGGTTTGCCGGTAAGTAAAGATGATTTTGTTATATTAATGTACAAGGAAGTGAATTCCATTCATTCGATAAAGGAAATGTCTCAGAAATCATCTGTCAGTATGCTGTTATTAAACGACAGCTTCGGAAGAACTAGTTCGAATTATCTCTGTACTTTTGTATAGGAGATTGCATCAATGCATGCCATTGCATTGTGAATTTATGTTCCAAATCTAGATAAAGTGGCGTTAAGTTGAATGATATAGTGTATATATTTACTAACATATACTTTTTAAAGTTTATTAATAGCTTGTACCAGAGACATATAAGAGAGGGACCGCTAACTCATTTTCGCGCCAAATTATCTACATGTTTTCGCAGCGCCCTCACCGGGAGGCATAGAAAGACTTCCGGTCGTATTAGCTGCAGTGTTTTCATCGAAGACTTTGGGGTAAATATTGCTAATATATTGTATATTTTACTATTTATAGCCTGCACGTCAATAATAATTCACATAAGGTGGATATCTATGATGTATTTTTGCAGCTATAAAGAGAAATTAAAAAGATAACACGTATAACATGAGACCATGCATCATGATGTTTACATCTTGTCGTTGTCGGTATGTACAACATTATTAATTCTGAATAAAAATGTTCTCTTGTTGAAAAGTTGCTCCTTTTATCTTCATAAACATTGTAGACTCAGGCCCTTAGGAACCGGTGAGCAAGGAGGAAAAATTAGCAACTATACAGGCACGTTTCGTTTTAAGGGGGGGGGGGGGGTATGTAAATGTAATTTTATGTAGGACAAGTTATCTGGGGGAAAAAACTTGAAGACAAGCAAATAAAAAGGGAAGTAAATTGTCAGAACAATCTGTAGAAAAATACTACTAGTATTTTATTTAGGAGGGGCCGGTTGGGGGGGGGGGTAACTTTTAGTGTACATTTTCAACAGTAAATGGGTAAACTGTATATGTTTTGGACACCCCCCCCCCCCCCATCAATATAATACTTGTATGTGCTATTCGAACATTAGAAACTACCTTTGCTTTAATGTTTCCCTTAAATAAATATTATTTAAAACTCATATGTTTTTCTTTTCCTTTTTTTATTTGCTCAACTGAGATGTCCCAAAAACTGAAATTCTTCCCACAAAAGGGGCCTGAGAGTTTCTCAACATTTTAAAGACTTGATCATAGTATTGAGATGTATTATTTACCTTTTTTGTATATCCAAGAATGTATAAGGATGAATAAGGATGTTAAATTTTTACATCATGTAAAGATGAACACTTGTTCATGTAATCTCCAGGTATGTCAGAAATCACTCTTCTCAACAACAGACACAGATTGCAAGCAGAGGAAATGAAGAATGCATATGGGTGAATTTATCCTGACCACCATAAATCTATTAAGTAAGTGGCAATTTTTACTCATTTATATCACAATAATTTTTTTAAAATGTATCATTTTGCTTCTCATGACTGTAAACATGTGTTATTTGCATCAAAATTCAGTGGCGTAGCATCGGTTTTGAAAGTGGGGGGGCCAGCCGGAGAAAATTTTCGTTTACTTACCTGAAAAAATTGACAAGCAAAAAAAAAAAAAAAAAAAAGGGAGAAAAGTTGAAAGTTGCCCAAACCCGAAAATCCTATTTGGTTGGGGGTGGGGGGGGGGGGGGGGGGGGGGGGGGGGGGGGGGGGGGGGGGGGGGGGGGGGGGGGGGGGGGTGGGGGGGGGGGGGGGTTGGTGGTTAAACTTTTTCCTCAGTGTCAACTACTTTCAGTACCAATTCTAATACTTCATTTTCGGTACATCATTAAAACAGGGGGGGGGGGGGCAGCCAGGTTTTCAATTAACATTTGCTATAGTATAGGTAAGGTTGGGAAAAAAAGTGGGGGGGCCAGGCCCCCCCCTCCCTGTTGCTACGCCCCTGAAATTTGCATCAGGATCAATATCGAATACATGTACAATTGTACATGTGTTACCTTGATTTATAGAGTGAAAATCTTATTATGTTCTTTGCGAGGGGATGCTCCGCCTTGCGGTGTCCTTGTGTCATGGGGATTGTTGATCTTTTTTTTTACTGCTTTTTTAGTTTTTTTTTTTAAATATACTAAATAATGAACAATCATTATCCCAAGTTTTACAGGTATATTTCATGGGGCTATTAAATTCTTTTCTTCATTGATTTTGTCTTTTTCATATTTTCAGAGTAACAGTACCTCTCTTGATTGATTCTACAAGATTCTGAAGTTGTTTTCCCAAAAGACCTTGACCTGCTTCATAAGGGTGTTTTAAGTGAGATCTAAGGATGAATAAGACAATAAGACAACAAATATTTGTTCAGTAATCTGTAAAGCTTAAAATTGTGTTGCTGCATAAAATATAGCCACTCTCAAAACGGCACTGAAACAAACATTGACATGTTGTGTGGTTTTTCAACAATACTGCAAATGAATAAGAAATAATATCAGAAACTTTTATGTTTTTTTCTGAGCCATCTCTCTCCATGGTATTTGTAAAAAAAAAGAATTAAGACCTCCAAGAATTTAATTAATGAATATTCTTTCCAAACATTTTCCCACTCCTTGGACTGTAAATTCTGAGTAAAGAAATGTGTGATGAACATTTCAAATTTCTATGTGATGCATACATGTATAAACTAAAATATACTACATGTACATGTACAAGGCCTAAATGTATGACAATAAATCAAACTTAGCCAATGCATATTTTTGTATTTTTTGAATACCTAGTTTTTAGGCTCAAGTGAGCTTTTCTAATGACATTTTTTCTGTTGTATGTCCAACTAAAATTTTCACAATTTCGACTTCTCAAGTACTTATGGGTCAATTTAAACAAACTGGTACAAAGCATCCCTTGTTGAAGGGGAGTTTGAATTGTTAAAATGAAGGGCCAAGTTCCCTACAAAGGGAGATATTCAAGCAGAGACAAAAATAGGGTGGTGTCTTGAAAAAAATTCTCGAACCACTGGGCCAGAAAGTAAAAACTGTGGAAGCATCTTGGGATTAGTGTAGATTCTAAATTTTTCAAATCATGATCCCCCGAGTTGGGCTGGGCCACACTAAGGAATGAAAGTTTTACATAGAAATATATAGGAAAAAAAAACTTTAAAAATCTTCTTCTCAAGTTGAAGAACCACTGGACCAGAAAACCTGAAACCTATGCGGAAGCATCCTAAGGTAGTGCAAATTCTATATTATTTAATCATGACCCCTGGAGGTAATAAGGCCAGGGTCACAATAAGGAAGCCAAGTTATACATAGAATGTAATATAAAAGGAAAAATTCTTTTTCTTAAGAACCACAGCCAGAAAAACTTGTGTGAAAGCATTTGGGGTAGTGTAGATTCTAAATTGTTCAATTTATGACCCCAGGGGTAGAATGGGGCCATGATTTAGAATCCAAGTTTTACATGGAAATATATAGGAAAAAACTTTAAAATTTCTCAGGAACCACTGGGTCCACAGGTGCTTGACGACAGGCCCCCTTCCCCCCCCCCCCCCTTTCGATATAGACCCCTGGGCTTTTTCAACTTTTTTCTTATAAATAATTTTCCATTGACATATTTGTGATAAGATCTATACCAACGTTAACAAATCGAAAAATTACCTAAAACAAATGTTCTATAAAATCTACCCTACATTCTATATATAAAAATCAACTATAGAGAGTGGTTAGAAATTTTTCATAAAATGTTGGTTTAAGCAAATTTTCTGAATTGATAGGATAGATTATATCACAAATGTGTCATCCATATATATTAAATTTATGTGAAAAAATTCTAATAGGCCCGGGGGTCTATATTAGGGGAGGGGGTGGTCCTGTCCTCAAGCACCTGTGGCTGGGTCAGGAAAGCATTAAACTTATGTGGAAGCATCATGGGGTAGTGTATATTTTAAATTTTTTAAATACTGTATGTAAAAATTAGCACTAATCTAGTACTTAAACATTGTTTAAAAAACCAGTAAATTTTACAATGTATGAGTTGCTGGACTAGTTACATGTTACAACATTAGTCTGGTTTCAGGATGGTGTATTTTTTAATTGTATTTTGTTTTGTTTTTTAATGCCAAAATAATGTAGATATGTAGTTAAAAAATCAAAAACATAATGATATAGATTTATTTTTCTATACAGCAACATAATACACTAAAAAAACATTAATTTCAGCCTGTTTTTAAAAAATAATTATTTAATGAAAGTCTAAAAACAAACAACATACTGTCATACACCAACCTGAAACCCAACACAGCTGTAACACCTATGTATGTATTGAAAACCAAGTAATTAATACATGCAACTGCAAAATCAACATTACAAACAAATGAGCTCGTCATAATTGGTCTCATCCTACACTATAAAATACATTTTACAGTCTATTTTTATTGTTATAGTTTTTAAAAGACAGACTGAACAAATGCAACTCGAGACATGGGTTAGATGGATTTCATCTATTTACTGTATTTAAATTTGTTCTCAATTCTTTGTCGTCATACACATGATACAAACGAAAGTATCTAATCCTCCTACGATTAATGCCACAAGGAAATTTTTCATAAAATTGAAGTTTTAGCGATGTTTTCTACCCATTCTTATGATGAAACGCCATACTGTTTACAGTTTCTATGCCTCCCGGTGAGGGCGCTGCGAAAATCGGAAGATGATTTTCCATTCGGAACTCGAATTTTTGAAACGTCATGAAAAATCTAGAGTGCTCCGAAAGAGTCAGCGGTCCCTCTCTTATACGTCTCTGCTTGTACTTTACAGTTTTAACTTGAATTTTCTCTGAAGTAAGTCATTCATATTGAGATCTATTGTTATTTACATTGCAACTTGGGTCAGTTGAGTTGCCCATATAAGACTGTTTGCTCTACAGTTGCAAAGTTAAGAGTTGATCCTTATGTCGTGGGTTCGATTCCCATTGTGGGACATGGAGACCAGTCCTTCATATGCAATTTACTATATACAATGAATGCACAATATTGATGGAGCTGAAAAGATTTGTCTGTACTCTGCACCCAGTAAAAGACAAAGTGTGCGATGATAGGAACACGTCACAGCAGGTGCGTGACATATACCATGTGATCAGAGGTAGCAGGGCAATCCGTGGCTAGCACTTCCAGGACTACTACATTCAGATAAAACGGTATAAACCGAGGTCCTGTATCACAGTAGGTACTGGCACAAAAAAGGCCCCTCACTGCTCAATGGCTAATTTGGCCATAATTGCTGAGTATAGAATAAATTTAAAGCTCTCCACCAGCAAATGGTGGCGTCTCCATATGAATGAAAAATTCTTGAGAGGGACATTAAACAACATAAAAACAAACAAAAAGCATTAAGGCCAAGCTTAAAAAATTTTTGTTTGCAGTTGCCGACCTATAATTTTTAGTCTGGGTAGGGAGGTAGGCAATATTTTTTTTTTGAAAAAAAAAATTGTTTCCAGATTTTTGTTAGATAACATAAAATAGAGTTTTTCACAGGCCTACTATACATGAATAAGCTGCACTCTATCTTGGTATAATGTCAGATTGATGAAGATTAAAATTGAAAATGAAACAGTTTTAATATCCTGAAAAATTGGAGAAAAAAAAAATATTTCAAAATGGCTAAAAAAAAGTTTGGGTCTGGTGCATTTTCAGTGGGTCGGTCGGCAACTGCAAACAAACAATATTTTATTTTAGGCCTAAGTTAAAAGTCTGACTATTGATAAATTGTCTTGATTGGCTGATTTTTTCTATGATTGGATGAAAACAATTTTTATGAAATAACTGTTATGTTGCAGATTATGCACAAGTTGAAGAAAAGAGCTGCTGTGGGATGGTAAAAAAAGTTCCAGGTAAAGGACAACCTTTTCCATTTATTTTAAAGGGATATGAACATTGCATATTTACTGTTAAATCACAAATTTTTGTGGAGGTTTAATTTTCGTTGTTTTTGAGGTGTGGAGAGACCCACAAATTCATGTCCACCACGAAATGTAAAGTGTTACATATAAAACTACTCAACAATTCTTCAGACACAAAATCAAATTCCCAGGATCCAAAATTTTTTCTCAAACCATGAAAGTTTGAACACACGAAAATATGTGATTTTATAGTAAGTATGTTCACCTCTGGGTCAATCTAATTAAAGTTAAATGTTAGATCTGCTCACATACTTGCTACTCTAACATCTAGCAATATCACATAGAGGGTCACATCTAAGGTCAAATTCGTAACAACTGTAGACTTATTCCTTTCAACAAATATTCAATGATTTTGCAGGCGACAATTTGATTGGATGATAGAATCTGACCTCTGACTTGACCCTCTGTGAGATGTTGTTACTGGATATTAGTGTAGCAAGTATGCGAGCGGATCTAATGCCTCTGGGTGTTTTTTATTTTAAATTCACAGCTTTTAAGAGTTATATAGATAATAAATTCTAAATTTGAGAATTTGTACATTTTTTACTCGATCATCTGTCACCATGAGAAATACAAATTATGCTCTAGTTTTTAAAGAATTATTTGCACAATTAATTTCAGGAGCAACAAAGAGTCTTGACTTTTACAGGAGTGCAGATTTTAAAGAAAGAAAACTGTGTTGTAAAGAAAGAAGATTTTCCATCAAAAAATGGTGGATGACAAAGGTAAAGAGGACAGTAATGATTAGAAAGTATTAATTATTTAACACAGGGGCAGATTTTTTGTTGCAGTTTGTAAATGCTATTCAAAATGTGTAGCATGTAAATTTTTATTAAAATATCATGATGGATGTTCATGCAACTAATAGCTCTTATCAATGTTTATAGTTTAAGCATATGAAGATTAATCAAAGTCTCTTGGATAGTTTCTTTAAAACTAAGCTTTACTCACTAATTTAAAGAAAGGTCAAGGTCAAAAGAAAGGCAGAGTTGTGGAAAACTTTTTCAGATAGCCGGTCATTCGGACCGGCAAGAAAACAAAATAAGCCGGTCCGAAGTGATTTTTGTCGGTCCGAAATTAAGTTGCAAAATGGAAAAAAAGCATAACATTTATTCATTTTATATCAAATCTATTTAATAAATCATGTTGTTAATAAAACAAAATTCAGTCTCCATTTCCAAGTACTCGTCCGTTTTCTTTTAATTCTGCATTCATAACAATACTAGATCGATACATTTATACCATCGTTTTTTGCAGGTGACAATGCTAATTCAGCACAGTCAAAGCAATTTTTAAAAGCATTTATACATTTTGGAATTATATTAACCTAGCATTCTTTGCATCGATAATCTGATAATAAATATATCAACACGAACGGAGAAAAAACGAAAAATCCGGGACAGTCGGAAATACTAGGTTAAGTGCCTTCTCCACCTGTGCTTGATTAATTCTTTCTGTTGAAATTTTTTATATTAAGCTCGTCTTTATCTGAAGTTGTTCTTTAATATGTTTTCTACCTAACTCGGCCCCAGTTGTGCATTTAAAAGGTCACGTGAACAATGCTAGTTTCGTTTTCATTTAAAGCCTCGATCTCGTAAAAAGAAAAGGTATTACGTAATCGCATATAGGATACGATAAATAAGATGGGAAATGCACAAAACAAAAAAAAAAAACAACAAAACTTTTAACCAAAAAAGGAGACGGTCATTTGGACCGACATCGATAGAATTTGTACCGGTCATACGAATTTTAAGCCGGTTTTGCCGGCATGACCGACAGTTTTCCACAACTCTGAAAGGTCAAATAAAATAATGATTATGAAATTGAATAGATTCCATCAGTATGTATCTGGCACTATCTGCATATATATAAGGTTCGATAAAAATATCTGAAACAACTCTTGAAACCAAACTTTACATAATTTAACAAAAATTAATGTCAAGGTCAGAAATAAGAAACTCTTATAAATAAAATATATGTATCAGCATATGAAGTTCAAAGTGTGATGGAAGGACAGTAGGACATGTTATTAAGATTAAGTAAGCCTCATTACAAATGTTTATGCCAAGGTGAAGCCACAATATTGGGTCATTTTTCATTGAAAATAGGAACATTTTTTTAAAATTCTGTGGAACACTAGAACCAATTGACCTAGGTGAGCATTGTGGCCCATGGGCCTCTAGTTATGTGTTATTTGATTCATCATGAATCTGGTGGTATAATGATTTTTTATATTTCAGTTCTTCCTATGAATGATGTCATAACCCACAAAAAAAGTTTGTTGGAGAGAAAAGGATCTGAAGAGGGAGAAAGAATTGATTATATTCAGATGGATTTATAGACTGTTAGACCTTTTGCTATCACTTAATTCTGTACTATTAGTTCTGCAACACTAAGCCTATAAGCTTTTGACTTGACGGTTTATCTTATTTGAGAGAGCATAGTCAATTTTTTTAGGCATTTCAAGATTAACAATGCAGAATATGTACATATGTAATGGCAGGTAAAAATCCCACACAAACAGGACACTGATAAGACTGGAATTTAGAGATATTTCATTTCTCTCTTGTGTGAACTAAAAAAAAAAATAATGCCAGAAACAATATAATAAATTAATAACTTAGTCTTGTTTTGTGCTTATACTTTTATGCTCCCATAAATGAAGTTTGGAGGGTATACAGCAAAACTCGCTTAGTACGAACACGGATATTGCAAATTTACGGATAAAGCGGAGTCATCTTGGATCCCCAGCTATATAAATTTAATGAATTTCTTGTATGATTATAACGAATTACGGATATAGCGAAGTAATTTCATAGGTCCCTGTGACTTCGTTATAGCGGAGTTTTGCTGTATAGTTTTTGCCATGTCCATCTGTCTGTCTGTTTATCTGCAAAAGCTTTAACCTTGCCCATACCTTTTGATTTTATTAGTGGAGCTATGACTTTCATATTTCACATATGTATTCTTTGTATTAAGATCTTTCGTTGGAAACCACCAAATTTGACCTTTTGACCTTGGAGATTTACATACTAATGAAAACAACGCAAAGATTAAACTTTTCTCAAATGCAAATTGAATTAATTGGTACCAAAAGTAAGGTATTCTCACTGCAAAACAATTGTGTAATTTGAAAGTAGTCCAATGTAAAAGTACTTTCAATAAGTTCAAATATCTCCAAGGTCAAAAGGTCAAGGTAATTGTTATCAAATGAAAGGTCTTGCCACATAGGATACTTATGTAGAGTATGGAAGTCGTAGCTCTAACCATTCAGAAGTTATAGCAAAGGTTGAAAATTTTTGAAAGTAGGTCAAACTTTAAGGTCAAGGTCAAAGTTCTTGTTTTCAATGAAAGGTCTTGTCACAAGGATTAAATGTGTAAAGTATGGAAGCACCAGCCCTAACCTTTTAAAAGTTATGGTCAAGGATTGCTTTTTTAAAGTAGGTCAAACTTAAAGGTTAAAGTCAAAGGGTCAAAATGCTTGGTATCCAATGAAAGATCTCACAAGGAGTACATATATGAGGTATGAAAGCCCTGTCCCTTACCATTCAAAAGTTATAGCCAAGGCTAAAGTTTTTTTTTTCACAGGTACGGAAATATACAAGGTCAAAGGGTCAAGGTTCCAGGTATCCAATGAAAGGTTTTTTGACAAAAAATACATATTTGAAGTATAAATGTCCTTGTACGAGGGTTGTTCGAAAAGTTCGTGGACAACTCTCATATCTTTTTTATTTGACGTCATATGTTATCCAAATTTGGTAGAAATAGTTTTACAATAAATCCAAATGATTCGTATTAATTTTTTCCAAAATATTACGATTTATTCAAAGCTTATCCAAATCTTAAAAATGCAAAAATCGGATCGCGGAGCAGGTCCAAACTTAGTAAGTTACAGACAATGCACTATTTAATGTCTGTAGTCGTATTCTCTGTAAAATGGAGCAAAACGAAAAACAACCTAGAAATTTAAATTAAGAATTGTTACACCGATTCGTATACCAAATAATGGCTTTATATTTTGCTTTGTTGAAAAGAAATCAATTTGAGAAGATAAATAGTCCTTATTGAAAACGACAAAAACGATGACGTTTTAGAACGTCACGGAGCAGCAGATAACGATGCAATTTGGTGTTTTACTCAGGAAAATCCCTGAATAAACTCTAAAAATGTTGGAGGAATCAAGAAAATATGTCACAAGCGAGTTGTGCATGTGTGTACAAATAGTACAGGCAATATTTGTGTGACAGAGACTCTGTATCGGATGAGAACAATCTGTGAAGCTATGATTTAACTGTAAAAGTCTGAACAAAAACTTGAAAAAGTTGGAACGTCAAGGAAGGACACAGCGCTTCAGAGTTGCGTATCCTGTGAAAGCAGAGTTAAGTAATAAAATAAATTAAAACCTTAACAAAGAAAATTATACAACGAGAGCAATTCTTAAAAAATAAATTTCAAGTATTAGAACAAGGATTCAATGAGTGGATATTGGATTATTCTGTGTGAAATGTGTAGGGATAGTGTGTTTTTTTTTTTTTTTTTTTGTTTTTTTTTTAGAAATTCTTGACTCTATGTTTTGACGTTACATTGTCGTTAAGTGTGCTCCGCGGGTACAAAACATGTTGATTTTAAAATGAAGTTAATTAATTTCTCTTGAATCGAATGGTATGAAACTTCACACACCAACAAAACAAATATTTTTACATATTATGTAGTGCTGAGTTTAAATTTCTAGTGAGTAATATAACGGAGATTGACATCGTCCACGAACTTTTCGAACAACCCTCGTATCTACTGTTAAAAAAATATGGCCAAAGTAAAAGTTAAAAATTTTCATGTAAAAGTGGGTCAAACTCCAAGGTCAAAAGGTCACATTTGGTGGTACCCAAAGAAAGGTTTTGTCACAAGAAATACACGTGAAATATGAAAGTTATGGCTCTACCAAATCAAAGTTATGGGCAAGGTTAAAGTTTTTGCGGACAAACAGACAGACGGACACGACAAATACTATATACCCCCAAAACTTCGTAAAAAACTTTAACATTGGAAATAACTTTTGAATTGCAAGGGGTAGAGCTTTCATACTTCACACATGTAATCTTTATGAGAAGACCCTTTACTGGATACCAAGAGCTTTGACTTTGACCTTGGAGTTTGACCTGCTTTAAAAAAACAAACCTTGACAAAATATATTAAATGGTAAAAGCTATTGGTTTCATACTTTAGTTTTTTAATCCTTGTGACAAAACCTATCATTTGATACCTAGACCTTTGACCTTGACCTCAGAGTTTGACTTACTTTTTAAAAAAATGTAACCAATTAAATTTTTAAACGGTTAGGGCTAGAGCTTCAATACTTCACATGTGTACTTTGTGGCAGGATCATTTATTGGATACCAATAACTTTGACCTTTTGACCTTGGAGATTTCCTGACTTGTAAAAAAAATTG